AGCTTTCAGTCTTTGACCATTTCACGTTAACTGTGGGTTTTTCATAACTATTCTTTATCACGCTGAGGAATTTCCCCTCTGTTCCTAGATTTCTAAAAGCTTATGTTAAATGCCTTTTCTGCATCGAGATGATCATTTCCCCCCTTTATTCTATTAACAGGATATATTACATTGATGGTTTTCCTTTTGTGAAACTAGCCTTGTATTCCTGGGGTAACTCCTGCCTAGTCATGGTCAACAGCCCTTTCCGAAAGCTGTTGGATTTCCTTTGCTAACGTTTGCTTGAGGATTCATCTCTTCCAAGAATCACTGGTCTGTAATTTCCTTGTGATGTCTTTCTCAGGCACTGGGATCAGAGTCTATGTTGGCCTCATGGAATGAGTTTGGAAGTGTTACCTCAACTTAAAATTTTTTGGAAGAGTTTGAGAAAAAGAGGCACTGATTCTTCTTTAAACGTTTGGTAGAATTCATCAGTGAAGTCATCTAGTCCAGGACATTAATTTGTGAGGTTTTTGGATTACTGATTCCATCTGTTTACTTGGAGGAATGTTGAGATTTCCGTTTCTTCTTGATTCAGTTTAGGTAAACTATGTGTCAGGGAATTTGTCTACTTCTTCTAGGTTATCCGATTTGTCAGTGTCCAGTTTTTACAGTATTCCCCCATAAGCCTTTTGATCTCTGTAAAGGCAGCAGTAACGCCGCTTTCGTTTCTGATTTGAGTTATTTGCACTTTCTCACTCCTTGTGTCAGACTAGCTGAAGTTGTCGATTTTGTTCATCTTTTTCCAAGAACGAGTTTTGGATTGCAGCGGTTTTCTCTATTGTTTTTCCTGTTTTGTTTCTCTTTGCCCTACGCTTTGTACTTTCTTTCCTTTTGCTGTCTTCGGGTTTAGCTTATTCTAGTCCCCGAAGGAGTAGTTACGTCACTGGTTTGAGCCTTTTCTGTGTTTTCCTGTAGACGTTCGCAGCTCTGCGTTTCCCTCTGTGCACTGCTTTGCTCCTCCCATAGCTCGGGGCACGTTGTGCTTCCTTTTTCATTTGTCTCTAAGTATTTTTGTTCGAATGAACGCCACAGTTCCAAAACGGTCACTTCGGACTGTTTCTGCCAGTACGGTGTTGTCCAGGTGGAGGTGGATTCCTGGCATCTCCTAACCCAGCATCTCCCGTGACATCACTCTCCTGCGGACTATGTCGTAACACAGAGTTAACGCAGCCTTGAAACAAGACAGAGTGTAACGGCTGACCTTCCCACGTAAACGTCAGGTATTTCCATCTTCCTCATTGATGGGGGACTAAGGATGTGTGTGTCTAACCAAAAGCCACATACGAAGCGCTAGCAGCTGTGTTGGTCTGGTCTGGTGAAGCAGAACTGCCCGGCACAGCAGCTGCACTTGCATGATGACTTGGCTCAGCTTACGCTAAGTTTGCATCTGTCAGCCACCCACTCTGACCCTTCGACTTTCGCAGCATGTCCTGATAGTTGGCTGACCTGAGCTTATCTTTTTACTTTTTTGTGTCTTCCAGAGCAGTTAACAAAGCCAGCCAACCTGATGATCTTTTAAATACCCAGGCCCCAGCTTCTTCATAATCCCATGATCCACCTGTAGCTCATCCCAAATGACCCCAGGGAAAATCTCAGTAACGTTGACACCGCTGCAAATCATGGGTTAGCACGGACTTTACCAGCAATGGATTCCTTATTGCTGACATCTTCTGAAGACCCATTTGAATACAAACTTTTCTCGCCTGGATTCCACACTCCCCCCAAAACAGCAGACAAGACAAAGAATTGCACACAGTTGGTTCACGTGTGAATGTGGTCTCAGGGGGAAGCAGAGTGAACTAAGGGAGGGAACAAGAAAGGAAGGAAGCCAATGCAAGGACGCATATTCGGCTGGCTGCCACTGTGGGTGACTGGTGCTCGGTTCTGTCAAGACATCCAGAAAAGCCACATGAAACACATCTCCAAACTGCTCTGCTTTGGGAATCAGTGGAGGAAGCATCTACCTACTGACTCCTTTAATCCATTGCTCAAGGTAACCCTATGGGCATCAGTTCCCCTTTGCAACCCGAGTGCAGTGAGGGTCCTATGAGCACTGTGCACCGAAGCATCAGAGAAGCTTAGTGGCAGGGAAGGACACACACTTGACGGGGGTGGGCCCCAGCAAAGCACCTGACCAAACGTGGGTGCAGCCTGTGTGGAAGCAGTCACTGGGGCAGTGGCTGGAGGAAGAAGGGGGCCAAGAGGATTCTTAGGGTGCACAGAGTCCAGTATGACTGGGCATAGCAAAAGCCTTTGACTAAGTCAGAGAAAAATTTTCAATGCCTCTTTTTGCCTCTGTACAGCTTACTTTTTGCCAATGCGGAAACTCTGCTGGAAAAGCAATTACTGTATACTAATCAAGTGGATTTTAGGGCCTGTTAAACCAGCACCAGTTTTTACATCCACTGTATTGTTGAGTATGCTTTCAACAGACAGTATCAGTAACTAGTACAACAGAAGTTCTTTTTGTAATTTAAATGCGAAAGCACACCAAGAAATGACTTCCTCTGAAAACAGAGCGGCCCTCCCTGGCAGCGCACAAGCTTATCCGTGTCGCCTCTGGCGACTGCTGCTCAAGATGCGTTCCGCGCTTGGGACCAAGGCCACTTCACCCTTGGTGACCGTCCTAGGCTCCCTTTCTCTGGGGCCTGGAGCCAGATTTGACTCTGTCACTAGGCTGACTGAGTGAGTGGGGCACGATCTCTCCAAACTTCACTTTCCTCATTTGTAAACTGGGAAAATAATACTTAATGCATAAAGCCTTTGTGAGGAAACCTTATGTGTGAAATGCTTCACAAAGTGCCAGGTACATGGTGGGTTTTCAGTCTACTTTGGGGGTCCAGATGCGATGAGAGGGTTAATTATGCAAATTTGAACAGCGGTTTATAGTTTGCTTTACACAGTGCCTTCCAGCATTTCTGTGACCGTGAAAGCATCACCAGCATTACTGCAATTCTTATTACTGGCAGGGACTTGGAAAAGTTGAGTGACTTGACCAAGGACTTGTATTAAGTAACCAGCAGGGCCAAGATCTAGGTCTTCTGACCCCAAGCCCCGCCTTCTTCTGATGCTCTGCACCAACCCTCACCTGCCAGGAAGCCCTTCCCACCAGGCTACTCTCTCCCCTCAAAACAGGACAGCTAAGCGGGAAGGGTACAGCTGGTGGTAGATTCAATCTCCAGTACCTGCATTAAAATAAGCAAGTAAATAAATAAACCTAATTACGTCCCCCCAAAACAGAAATGAAAAAACAAGCAATGAATAGAAAAGAGGACAGCTGTGGCTCCCAACCTTCCTTTTAGTGCTTGACCCAATGTTGTGTTTCCAGCGTGTGTGTATCCTGACTCCTTGACTAGAGGTTCTGTTTGTTTCATGGACAACTAACTGACCTGGTATGTGTTGGTACCTTTCTGGACTTTCATACTGTTCCACTGATCCATCTACTATTTTTCCAGCACCACAATGCCTTGATTACTGGAGGTCTAGACAGGTCCAAGTCTGAACACCAGCACATCCTCTAGCCGCTCCTTTATTCCATTCCTTTGCTTCTCCATATAAATTTTACAAAATTTCATTGACTTTCACCAAATATCCTTCTAGGATTTTAAATGGAATTGTGTTGTATCTATAGATCAGTGTGAGAAGAACTGACATTTAAACAATATTGCATGTTTCAATCCATGAAAACAGTGTATTCTCCATTTATTTATTATTCTTTGATTCCTTTCATCAGGGTTTTGTGGTTTTCAGTAAACGTATCTTGCACACACATCTTATAAGATCTGTGCCTAAGTGTTTCATATTATTTTGGTGCTAACATAAGTGGTACTTAGAAAATTTTTCAATTGCTAATTACTCAGTGCTAGTGTAGAAAAAATACAATGATTTTTGTATACCTTGTACCCTACAACCTTGGTAAAATTCACTTACTGGTTCTAACAGCTTTTTTGTAGATTGTTTGGAATTTTCTATATAGACAAATATATTATCTGTTAATACCAATGGTTTTATTTCTTCCTTTCCAGCTTGAATACCTTTTTTGGCTTGTTTCTTTAATTCGGTGCAAACTGAGGGAAATATATCAGGAGAATCTTAAAATCTAACAAGGTAGGCAGAGCAATTTCAGAAGTGACTGTAGCACACAGCACAACTAGGAAATACAGACGATGGTGAGTATTTTGGTTCAGTTTTAAGTTCAGATATAAAAATAGTTATTGAATGCAAACTAAACGCCAAGCACCACCTAGTTAAGGAAGAATGTGGGGAGTCCCTGCCCTCAGGGGGAAGGACAGATGGACAAATCCACAAACAAAAATCCACGTGTACAAAAATGCTAGGCAGTGACCGCTGCTCTGAAGAGAAGTCAAGCAGGGAAAGAAGATAAACTGTGACCGAGGAAAAACAAAGCAGAACTCAGTGAGCTGAGAGCGAGCCTGGCAAATGCTGGGGCCGGTGCCTGCACAGAAGGCACAGCAGGGAAAATGCCCCGAGACAGGAACGTGCTTGACATTTTTGAGGAAGAGGACGGAGGCAAGGGCAGCTGGAGGAGAGCCGTCGATGGGGAGGGGAGGCAGCGAGGCAGAGAGGGAGCTGCCGGACGGAATACTTGCGGTGATGCTGTGTGCGGGCACCACGCTAGCTCGTTCTCAGCGGGACTGCAGAGTCCCCGCCCTCGCGGTGGAGACAGACATCAAATACACAAACAAAAAGACACACGTGGATACAAATGCCAGGATGCCCGGCACACTAGCGTACACTATACTCACACTGCTGTACCGAGCACCGCAGAGAAGAGAGTTCGTGTGGAATCGTAAGTCATTACTTCATCACGGAGCCAGAAGATGCAGGTAGTATTAACGAAAACAACTGAAGAGATTTATTCAGAGGCCACTTGTTAAGGTACATTTTAAAATAAAATAAAACACCTTTGTGTCCATAAAAATACAGTTGACTCCATATTTAGATTTATGAAAAATAAATTTATTACATAACACCTTGTTTTTAACAATGTTCGATTTTTTTAAATTCAGAATACTTGTGTCATTCATGTAAAATAGTTTGATACAGTACATTGTATGTTATAGGGTTTTTTTTTCCTCAAAAATTCTAAGGCTCTCCTACTCCTTCTCCTTTGCTGAAGTAAGGGCACCCTAAACAACGTGCGAACAAGTTTTAAAAAAGAAAATGAACTGAACAAAATTTTAGTAGCACTACACCAACCAGCTTCAAAATCAGGACAAAATATCTGAATTGGATGCCGCACCTTTTTAAGGAAGTTATCTTCATGCTTTTTTCATCTTAAAGCATGCTCACAAGTCAGCAACACCAACAGGAAAAATAAAACACTGTCTATGACAATCATTTTAGTTTGTTTGCTGAACCAAACAGGTTTATATCAATGACAACATATTTAATTACTATCAAATAGCAGCTTTAATACCAGTCAAGTCATAGATTGAAAATAAAAACAACTTATAAGTTGGAAATTAATCTTTGGGAGTTTTGAAACCTTCCTGGAAAACCTATGTGGCTTTTTGTACTTTCAAAAAATCCAAGCAATCTTGGTCAAAAAATACTGATTAATGTAGAAAATGAATCAACCCACCGATAAGACACTAAAATGAAAGGTGTATCGAAATCATCTCATTCTGAGTCTTGGTTATTTTGTTTGAGTTACATATACTGCATGTTTCAAGTACCAGTTAAACGTTTGTGTATGCGTGTGTACTATTGGTCAGGTAATGCTGTTACACTGAAAGAATTCACCACACATGACGACAAATGCTTGCCCCTAGCGCATTTCACAGCTTCAACTGCTACAGACTGTCACTGAAAAAAACGCACTGGTCAGTCTGAACCATGTCAAGTAAACCATGGAAGTAGCAAACCCACAACACAAACTGTGCTAGCACTTTCTCCTCAAGTCTAACTCCAAACAGGTACAACTTGGAAGCCACCACCCCGTCTGCGAGAAGTGGTGGCACTCGGCTCCTGGACGCCGACTCCGGCTGCACAGCACGCCCGCGGGGCTCGCGCCAGGCGCCCGCGCAGCCCGCGGCCGGCCCGCAGCCCAGCGGCAGTGCAGGGACAGTGTCCAGCGCAGCTCAGTACCGGTGGGCCTGATGAGAGTACTGTGGAGGCTGCTGGGAGGTAGCTGAGTATCCCATGCTGCTCTGCGGCTGCGATGTGCTTGGTCCAGGGTTGGCGTAGGCAGCATGTGGATTGGAACGCTGCAAGAGGAGGTGGGGGGGAAACGTTGACTCGGGTGTTTCTGCGTGCTGGCTGTGTCCCAAGCCAGCAAGGCTTACGTGTGTTTGAAATGTCACTTATCTTAAGGCAGTGAGAACCTAAAAGTCTTGGGCTGTGTACTGGCTTTAGAATTAAAGTGACAAAATCCCCAAATCTTTTAACTCCAGCTTCTCTTTGTGAAGGTCAGAAGTATTGCTAGTGAGTACTACTGAGCTGAGTCTACTGTGCTGAGCAGTTCATTTTTTTTCTGTAGCAGGAACCCCTTTTATGCTGTTTTGTATCTACTCGATAAATAATAACTCATTTGGGAAGCTTACAGTGGAACTTAATGATATAAAAGCTAATTTACACACTTGTTTCTTCAACAGAAAACTCCCCAACATACACGTGACTAAGAATAAAGATGAGTAAGACAAGAAAGGGTACCAGAGAATCACCTTCTTCGGCATTAGATATCTTTATGCTGTTCACACTAATGAATCTTATTTTCTGCTGCAAGTGATGTATGAAGGTAAAGTTACAATTACTGAAATGCAGCAAGAGGGACATTCTCAGTTCTAAGAACGGCACAGTGGGCGGAGTTTAGGTCCTCCAGTCTCGGTCTGTTACAGCCTTGTCCTCATTCCTGCACCACTGTTGGTTCCCAAGACAAACACTACAAGAGATTAACCATAATTTATTACCTTTCCTCTTTCAAAACATATTTAATAAACCATATACTTCAAAACTCAGCCAACTCTAGCAAAAGTAACATCCTAAAAAGAGTGGACACGTGAAATTCTAGTCAGAAAGACGATTTTTGAACTCACTAACAGAAACCAAGCACAATGACTTCCACAAAGGGCACAGCGCCATCTCCTCGGATCCGGCGGCCAAGGTCAGAGCCCCGCCCCGCGGCACTCTCAGGACGCATCGCCCGGGCGGGCAGACACACGCGGGGCCGGAGGGGTGTGCTCCTCCCCCACCTTCGGACGGAAAGGGAAGGTCCTGGAGCAAACGCCAAGCCCCACGGTGCCTGACCTGGCGTCCCCTGCTTGTTCAGCTCACTGGGAGACAGTTACTGCTCAGACAATGATGTCCAGCGCCTGGTGGGCTGGGCCCCTGTAACCACAACAGGGTTAGGACCTAATTCCTGAGTGTGGCAGCAGGCTGAGAGCCTTATCAGTTTAACAGGATCTCTGTTTCTCTTTTAGTAGGTCAGTAACTCTAACTGGTCAAGTCTGCAGTGTGCTTCCCACACTGACAGCCAGATTAATTGGAGTAGGATTAAATAAGCGGGGAGGTGGCATATAATTTTCAAACTGGGTCTGCCTGCAAAGGAACTGACAACGTCCCGTGAGGGGACCCACAAATGGCGACAGAGCAGCCTCTGTGGTGGATCAGAGTCTGCGTCCTGGGCCCATGGCCCACTCGCTGGGTGAACACAGGGAAGGTGTCTCACCTCCACGAGCCTGGTTTCTGAAATGACAACGGTGACACCTCACAGTTAACATAATGTCTGGAGGAAGCCCCGCCTGTGTCATACTCGGCTGTGCACAGGAAGCACCTGTCAAGCTCCTACTACAATCACAGCCGTCACCAGCGCCCAGCACCTGAGAAGTGCCCCCTGCGCTGGGATCGCTGCTGAGAATTTTAACGATGGCATCGTAACAGGAATGAGCAGCCTGCCAAGGGCCTGTCAGCCAGCTAGCCACCATCCTCTGCCTGCATCCTCTCGTCTGCTCCTGACCTCAGCCTCGCGCTTACCATGATCCGAAATCTGCAAGTGAGGAGACTGAGCACATCTGAACCACTGGCCCCAGGCTGCCTGGGAGCCGGTGGCTGGGCTGGGGTTTGGAAGCCATCACAGCGGTCCGCTGCTGTTTCAAACCCAAGACACTGCTTCCTGAGCACCTGCTGTAAGCTGGGGCTAAGGTCCATCAGGTCCACTCCGCCCCTATGGTGGCTGCGGGTTAGGCCTCGCGTCTCACGTCACAGAGAAACTAAAGCCGGGACGTGCACGTTACCCGTCCCAGGTCACAGAGCTAATGATCAAACGCGTCACCGCGCTCGGCAGAGCCCCTCCCGCACCGTCAGTACCCTCGTGCCAGTAGCTCTTCGTGTCACCGTGGGTCCTGGGCACAGCAAGGTCAGTGTCTTCTTAATGATGTCGCATTTTCCGGTGGCCACAAACCCACATGCAAATACCAACACGGCAGGTCAAGACAGAGGGGACTTGGAATACCTGATAGTCTGAGGTCACGATCAGTCCGCCTGAGGTAGTGGTCGGGGGGACCACTCTCACTTTCTTCAGCGGGGGTCCCTGCGCGTGGCCGCTGTCCTGGTTGCCTGGGTGGCCGGTCCCGTTCGTGTGGTTATTGCCCTGCTGCTGCTGCTGGTTCTTCTCAATGGGTTCAAGACAAAAACAAAGTTCAGCTCAGAAGGAGAACAGAAGACGTCCACACCAGAAAACAGGACGCGGCCCTGAACAAAGCAAGAAGCAGCCGACCGTACTTTAATACTTACTTTGTCTCCTTTGTCATCGGGTTCTTCTTCTGTTAAAAATTCTCGTTTTGGGTACGGGATCTGACAACCGGCAAAAACGCTGATCACAAGAAACAGAAAAACGATTTCTGATACACCAATCAGTACTCCAAATGCTTCACTGAAGTGGTTTCCCTTTTAATCTTTTAAGGTGGACTCTCTGTCTCCCTGTTTGTGACATAAGCACCTTTCACGCACCTGTGACACACTGAGTCTCCTCCCTGACCAGTGACACCGCGGCAGGACACAGGAGTGCCTTGCGGTGTATGGAAAGAATCAGTCGTCATCTAATTGGGCTCAACATCCTCCTCTGATTCTGCGACTACTCCTTTATCACCACAGCCAAGTGCAGACTCCAGCTGGAATGTCACTATTCAAACATACTTTTTCACTCTCCACACTACATTTAAAATGAGAGTACGGGGAGCACAAAGGGACTGGGGACTGGGGTTAGAGATGGGACGTGAAGCTGGAGCTGTGAGCAGTGAGGGGGCGACAGCGTGCGCAGCCAGCCTGCCGGGGGCGACGTGACCAAGGGCATGGAGGAGTGGACGGGAGCCTCCCCAGCCGTGACCCTGCCGACACTTCCGTCGTCAGAGCTCAGCTGCTGCTGCTCACAAGGATTTCCCCGGAGCTGACAACTAAAAGAAAGCGCGCCCCTCGAACTTCTGTGAGGCAACAAACTGACCACTTACTCTGACGTGGGAAGCGGATCCTCCAGGAAATAGGGATCCTGCATAGCCTGTTCTGAGGTAATTCGCTTTATTGGGTCCATGGTGAGCAACTTCTGAAGCTGAAACCACAAATCACAAGAAACCCCTGCATTACTTCACACAGCTAGACCCTCCGGCACACCTGTGGGAGCCGTATGTTTTTTGATTAATAACACCACAATTTGGAGGGTGCTTATTCCTCCAAATTAACCCAAAAACTCCCTGTTAAATTTAATGTAGTCGTGGTAACTCACATTTCAGTCAAAGATTCATGATCTCACTTGGTTCTCCTGTAAGAAGTAACTAAACTTAACATCTTCTTACTCTAAACCAGTGATCTTTCCCTGCATTATCTAAATTGCTATATCCAGTTTAGTACAGGGCTAAAATTCTTATATTTTCTATTATTTTTCTACTAAGGGGAAAATCGTAACACAAATAATACAGTAGCCACATGTGTCTATTTAGATTCAAAGCCAAATTAAATTTAAAAATTCAGTCTCTTAGTCGTATCAGGTACATTTCTAGAGCTCAAAAGTCACATGTGGCTGGGGGCTACCCTGCTGGACCGCACAGATCATCAGATGAAGGTCCCCTGACAGTGCGGTGCTAGGCTGAGAAACACGGTGACTGACCTGGAATTTGTAAAGCACAGAGGTGTGGTTACCAATGGAGACTCTGGAAGGGGACTACTTGGCTTCAAATCCTGACTTGCATTTATTAGCTGAGTGACTCTGAACAAGTTACTTAACCACTTGTAACCCCATCTGTCAAATGGGGATTAAAAACAGCACTTGTTCTCATAAGCTTGTTTTCAGAATTAAATGAGTTAATACATGGAAAGCAGTTACACTGGGGCTGGGAGGGAAGACAGCACCATGTATGTCTTAGCCATTGTTATTACTACTACTGCTCCATAATTTACTGAGGGCTCTATGAACTAGAGTATTTGACTTCAACATGTGATTTAAGAGATTCTCTAAATAGTGGACACTTAGTGTATAATCTCTGCTCTAACGCAATGTTTTTCAGACTCCCGAGGACATCCGACACACCCCTCGACCTGGAGAGCTTCCTAATGACTGCACAGCTCCGGCCCAGAAAACCTGGGCAGGAGCCCCGGCACCTGCACCTCCAACAGCGGCCAGGTGACTCTGGTGCTGCTGCACTGGGACCACACTTTGAAAACGAAGGGATAAGCAGACACGGGAGTCAACAGGAGATGACACAACCGGAGACCAGGACAAGAAATACTCAGACGTGCAGACAAAATGCTGGGATTCAGAGACTAACTGTAATGATCTGCTGTTTCAGTGGAAGCACAATTTAATTTTGAGATTGAAAGGAAAAGCTTGGATTTGCTACTTAAAATACTCAATGGGGCAGGGGGTGGAGAGTAGAGCTCAGTGGTAGAGCACATGCTTAGCATGCACGGGGTCCTGGGTTCCATCCCCAGTACCTCCATTAAAAAACAGATAAATAAACCTAGTCACCCCTCCAAAAAATAAATAAAATAAAATAATATAGATAATAAAATAAAATACTCAACAGTTTTAATGGGATTATATCAGAGCTATCAGCCGGGACCACCCAAGACAGGTCATCTTTGTTAAAACAAGCGAGTTGCCAAGGCAGACCATCTGGGAGTCAGCGGCTGTGGGGTTGGGGGTCTCCCCAGACTGCACTGAGGAGCCGTGAACTGGCGGGGAGTAAGAGAATTCCCCTACATTGTGACTTCTGGTCTACCATTAGTATCATTATTTTGTTAGAATAAATAAGGCTGTAACTTTGAAGGCTCTAACTTACCTTCCAATTTGGGTACTATTTTAACTATAAGAAGCCATGATTTGAATAATAATACATTGTGTAGTAATATGATAAATTAAGCACTGCTTTTAAAAATGCTGATTAAATACAAAATACACGATACATGACATGACAAAAAAAATTAGCAGAAGATGTAGAAGCAGAAGAGTTAGAAGAAGAAAAAAGCAGAAATAGAAGAAACATCTGCCAAGTAGCCTGGTACTGTAATAAAGGAACATTCAATCCTTTCGAAGTAAAAAGAATTCCCATTTAATGAACTCATTTAAAAATACTGGGAATAAGGGATTAAACGAATTTTAAGCCAAGCAAAACACAAACTGCTTCCCCAAATTCCCCCTTTATATTACTTTTGTCAAGTCATTTTTCCACTATACATTACTTACATACTGCATCTCTCAGACTCCTCCAGGAAAAGCAAACAATGCATGCTCTCCCTGAAGGACCCCTCACAGACAGGTGTGTAAGAGGTATGCTGGGAGTTAAAATTTTACAAACAATCTTTCAAAGAGTTGAAATACAAAATAATTTGTAAAAATTAGTCCTGAATGGTGGGATTGTTTTCATCTTAATTCTTCTTTGAAATTTTTAAATGATGAAAGCCAATAAATGGAATTTTAAAAATGATTTTGATGACTATCTTAGAAAACCTGATGTAACCACACATTAAGTCTGTCAAACCACATTATGGCATTATGGGTTTGGAAAAACAAGTGTTTTGGTATCTTTACTAGTAGCACCAACAAGACTTCTGTATTTACTATTAGAGAACGCTAAGAGTGCTGAGCAACCATATAAACTGCCGCAAAAAAGCCTCAGGTTGGGCTTAACAGGGGAAAAAAATGCATTTCATTAGTACTATCCTCTAAAGCTTACCAAGTGGAATGCTTTACTATCTGGTTTAACTTTATGTTTTTCCATATACTTGATAAGGCTGCAGTTGGTATACCTGGAAGAGAAATACTATGAAATATCTCTATTAGATTTGAGGTTAATTTTACATTGGCTGAAGTTTTTCCAAACAGAATTATTTTAATCATAACTGATACAGAATATATACTGAAAATGGTATTAAATCAATTTCATATTTCATTCAATGTTCACATGAGTCACTGTTGAATGGATGCCACTGATTAAATGCAAGATAATTTCATGAAAAAAAGTTGTATACACTGTTTAGCTCTGTTTCCACAAATGCAATCTCAACAATTATCTTCCATAACATATGGGTCCAGAGTTTAACTCAGCCTTACTAGTAAGTTTGAAATAGATAAAAATTTAAAATAAATTTGCCATAGGACTATAAGTCTATAAACTCCCTCTCCCAATCCCCTGATCTCGCATTGAAAGTGAATGGAATAGTCCTTGTTCTCCATTAAGACTTGCTTAAATTTACAACACGACCTGGGTGGGGGCAGGCGGCCGCCAGCACCGTCCGTTCACTTCAGCCCCTTGCTTCTCAGCTGTGACCCTTTCCTCTGATGCACAGCTTCCAGAAGGTAATAAACAATGGAGGAAATGAACTGACTTTTCCCCTCACAGCCAAGTCAGCTGCTAATACTAGATATTCACCTTCTTTATATCACCACTTAAATCTCTTAAGAAATGAAGACTATCATAATGTGAAAAGATTTATCAGAGTAAATAAGCAAGCTTATTTAATAGAATAAGCTTATGCTGAGTATTCTATTACACTGAGTAGTATTCAGTCTTAGACTGAGTATTCTAGAAAAGCAAAAATCAACAAAGGGCCCGTTTTTGTTCCAACTTACGTATTTCTTCTGAAATCTTTCATTAATGTTGAATGTTCAGGCATCTTTTTTATATCTTCCCAGTCTTTATCTGTGAAGCACATTGATAAAATTTTATATTGTCTATGTTCCTATTCTCAAGAATTTTAATAAAGGTCGCTTCACTTTTCATTACCTGTCCTATACTTTTAACTTCCATGAAAGCGCAGACTTGAAATAAATGGTCAGCTACAGCAAATACCTTAAGCCTATAAACGCAACTCCCCACACCTTGTATTGAATTAGAGCTCTCTCTTTTTAACTTTATTTTTCTAATGCCTACTTCCCATGTGTTTTACCAGAAGTTATCTCAATTTCTGTAACAAGGGGGGGACAAATTATAAATAAATACGGCTTTTATTAAATAGTTCTAGTTCTACCTGTAAAACCACTTTTTCCCCACCAAATTTCAGCAACCAATCTCTTCAACCATAAATTTAACATTTCCCCCCTCAGCAGCTTTAAGATGTGCCTCTTTTTGCACGGCCCCTCCTCACGTTCACCTTACTGAAGACGCAGCTCTCGGCGGGGACCAGAGTGAGCAGTGACAGCTGTCTGAAGCAGGCCAGAGTCGGCTCTGACCAGCACAGCAGTAAGTCAGCAGGGGCCGTGGCTCGTTGCAGTAACACTGACACAGACAACCCCAGCTACTGGGTACGTCAGGTGGGGAACATGCAGTCGGGCTTGCTGGCACCAGCGTTGCCCGACAACCTGGGCGATGTCAGAGGCCCGCGGTCACCTCAGAGGACTCAGACGCTGTCAGTGCCCCGCACTCTTCCAGGTGGCGCACAGCGCCTCTGCTTCTACGTGAGCTTCAGGGCTTTGCCTTTCTTTCAATTTATTCATAAAACACTTGCTACCTACCCTCCAAAGAGAACACGTATTGTAAAGAAAACCAAACACATACTTTAAACTCCTAAATGGAACTTCTCCTTAACTACTTCCTTGTTCCAATTCCACGATTTCTGTCAATTTCTCAAGCTAGAAATCTTGAGATAATCTTTTATTCGTCCCTCAATTACACGCTTTCTGTAAAAAGCTGTACATTGATCCTTTCTTCTCCAGCCAAATCACTTTCCCCCCGGAGTACCACTCCAGTACTGTTACCTCTTTTAAACTGATTTTTACACACTGTTGCCATACTAACCTTTCTGAAGTACAACGTAAGCCACGTCACTGGTTCTCAAGAACTTAACCGAAGCTCTCACTCTGCATATCAAGTTCAAATTCTGCTGCCTGCCTCTCGGGTTCCTTACAAGCTAAGCGCCCCCCAACGGTGGAACCACACACCAAGAACCATCTCCCACAGAGGCCACCCCACCTCCTCCTACTCCTTCCCCTGGGGCCTCTGAAATGGTGAGTGCGTTCAGAAGTGGGAAGAAGAGGCCATGCGTCTCCATCCACTCAAACTACTCCTGTTCTCCCAACAGTCTACTCTGGAGCAGAACAATGTCAACTCCAAGAGGGCAAGAATCATGTCTGCTATACCGACAGTATTTTATAGTTAACTCAGTGCCTAAAACATGGCAGGTGCTCGATAAACATTAGAGGAATAAATGAAATTCCCATCATGACAAAGCAGTCTTTGCAGAAATGTTGGTCAATTTTGGAGAAAGGGAATGACTCCGCATTTACTGATCGTTAACATCCTTACAAGGGAAGGTGGAATTAGAACTGTTAGATATTTCTCTATTAGTTCTGAGTTACTGACCGAGAAAAATTCCTAAAAAGAAACAACTATTAATAAGTGCTTGCCTGGCCAAAATTAGGAGGCGTTTTAACCAAATTTTCACCACTTGGGGCCTCTGGGCAGAGTTTGTGCTGAACCGTGGCCCTGCGGTATAATGAGGGGCCGGGATACAGCTGGGGCTGAATGCCTGTGATGAGACACCCCAGGAACCGGCCCCTGCTGCCGACCAGGGCAGGTGCGGCTGCTGTGAATGCCAGGCCTTCCCCACATCCTGGCTGTTCTTCCCGACAAGGATCACAGAGCAGAAGACGCTATTACTCAATACAGTGTGATTCTGCACAGGGCTCTAAACAGAAACAGTGTTCAAATTTGTATTCAAATACCAAGTAACGGCATTATTGCCTGTGCCGCCAGACAAAAATACACACCACTGAGTTTTATTTAGTTTCCAATGGTAAGAACTAAAGGCACCTTTTAAACACACGTATTGCAAATATTTTATCACTTCAAATGTTAAACAAAACAAAAAACCAAAATAAAGCAAAAATACACTCCTCAAATTCAAGAAACCTATAAATATTTTACACTAATATGTGAAATCTACAAATTTTGCTATTTCTACGGATCTTTGTTTAATGCAAGTCATAAATATGAAGAAATGAGTAAGAGTAGCTTTCAACAGCTAAAATACACACTTTCCAATGAAGATATCTAAGTTCAAACAACAGCGATTTAAAAAACAAAAACAGAAACGTAACGTGTACCTGCAGGAAATCCCATTACATTGAATATCCTGTCCAGCTGGTCATGGTGGTAAGGGTTACTAGTTTTGATGTCCTCTTGTCGACAGTGAAATATTGGTTCTGACGTTAGTAGTTCTGCAAATATACACCCTATAGCCCAAATATCTTTAAAACAAAAAAACAAAAACAAAAAAAAAAAAGAAGAAAACAAAAAAGAAAAGGAAAAAGAAAAAGAAAGGAGGAAAATAAAGTGGTTCTTTCCAAAAGAAAATGCATTTTTATCTTGGCAGGGAGTGTTTTTTCATTCTTTTTTTTCCCCCTAATAAGCCATATTCATTCCTAAGCAATTACAAATACCAAGGAATATTGTTTGTAAATACATATTCCCACCCCACCCACCCCAGTTTTTCATTGTTATACCTCCATCCCGCCCAGTGGCTTCATTCTAAGTTTAAATCAAATTTATTACCTAAAATTTCTGGCAAGTTTAAGTGCCTCAAACATTACCTTGTCTGTGAAACACATACAAAGCTGCACGTGGAGCACAGGAACCAAAAATAAACAAAACTAAATGAAAACTTAAACAAACAGAAACCCAAATAGCCTTGGAAACCGGAAATGCTTGCCAAAAACAACCAGCACCATTTCTTGAGGTTAAAAAATATTTTTTCTAGTTTATGCACTCATTAATTTGCAGAGCCTACCTAGTAAGTACCCTCCCATGCTAGTGCTAGTTAGCACGCGAAAGACAACGCCTGGTCTCAAACACGCTAATGAAACAGCGTTTCTGCTGGAAAAGCTTTTCGTTCAGCGTGTCTTCGTGCTATAGCAGTGTCAGACTGTGCAAGTTTAAGTATTACATAAAGACAAGAAAATATGGGGCAAAGTACTACTTTTAAATGGGCACAGAGGTTATAAATTCATAAGAATTATTTATAAAAGCCAAGCAAATGAATTCCTTGGTATACAACAAATCCTTTTCATTCACTTTACAATACAGGCTAACTTTCATTCATATTAAATTCTTACTAATGGAATTGTTAGTAGAGAAAAGATATATATATATATGCCAATTTAGAATTTGAAGCTGCAGGTACACCATTTCTGCTCTTAACAAATCCCTGAACTGACGGTGTTAACTTCTCTACACCAAGAACAATGGTATGCACACAGCAGACGCTCAATAAGTGGTTTTCAACTGATCTAACCAATACCTATGGTAGATAAAAATAACTACAGAAGGACAAATCAAAATCACTATTTTATTAAAGCTGATTATTCCTAACTCTATTTTGATAACTCAAAATAGAAAGTGAGAAAAATGTTTGTTTATACTTGAGTATATATTTAACTGAATATATATTTAAATTTATAAATAACCGAGAATTCTTTGAGTCTAAAACTGAAATATAGATTTTTAATTTAATGTAAAATGATCCCACTGACATTTTAAAGTAACAAGTTAATCCTCTATTTAAAGTGATTTTTAAAATGACACCATGTTTGCCCAATGCTTTTCTCCCGCATTAGAGAACCAAGTCTAGACAATATGGAAGAGTCTCATCAAGAAATGGAAGCTAAGCTATTTTCTCTTCAGCATCAGAAAGTAAATGGGAAAGTTAATTATCTTGGGGTTATTCTTTTCACATGGGTGCCCCACCTGCAGCTGGCCTCTGATGATCTTAATCCAAGGGGAGACATGCACACTAAGCGGGGCCACAGAAGGGCCTGGGGTTAGCCTGCATCTCTGAAACTCTGCTCACAGCACCCAAGACACTGGGACAACCCATTCTGGTTGTGAAAATTCTAAAGAAGAAAATAAAACACGTAAAGGAGGATAAGAGGTCAGTAAACAGATCAGCTATCCTTAGAGCTACATTGCTTTTAAAATAGAAAGTCAGGGAAGCAGGAAAAAATACTTTATGGAAACTTGCTTATTAACCTTACCCTAAATAACCTCTTTCTTCCTATTTTTTCTATTATCTTTCACCTTCTACCAACTTCACCACCTTTCCCTTCTTCAAAATCCTGACCCAGCATTAATCATGAATTTCAGTCAGCTGATCAATTATTTCTGACAAATTTCTTAATCTCTGTAAACAAGCCCCTCTTCCCTATCTCGCCTGTTCTCCCGACTGCGCCAGGTTCATGGGAAAGTTCCCTCCTGCTCCCCGACCTGCCCAGCTCCTTCTGGAATGAGTTTCTGAACTACCCGACACACAATCCCACCTTCTGCTCAGCCCTGTGATGCTCACAGGTAGCTGCTGAGCTAACCGGGCAGAGCGGAAAGCAGTGGGCAGGCTATGGAGACCCAAGCGCAGGGGGAAAAAGATTGATTAAATCATGTTTTACTCAGAAAGTACACTAATAGCAAGCTTCTATCTTAATGAAGGCGTAAACTCTCATTTTTCCTGTCTTACTGCGTACTTCCCACTTAATAGAACACTACATCATCGGGGCATTCGGTTACTTGAGGACAAGCACCTGAGCATGAAAGTCCATACCTCAGTAAAACTTTTAAGACTGCCCTAGCACAATTAATTAATTAAAGACTGATAGCCTCCTGTCAGCCTTCTCCACAAAGTCAATCAAATAAACCCTCAAACGCTCAAGACTGAATTCAACCGTGTCCCTGGGAGTACCGAGCCGACATCCTCTCTTTGGGTTACGGATCCTGCTTGCAGCCCCACACAAGCGCTGTAACAGAGGGCGGGAACATGCCAGCCAGAGTGGGCTCAGACTGTGCCCTTTGCCCTTCTGCTGCTTCTTAGTACCTTCAGTTTAACAGAATCCACCAAACTGGCAGATTCAGTCCTTCTAAAAGATGCCACTAAAATGAGCTTAGGAACATACTAGCAATTGGATGTAGATTCACCTGCACCCAAGTTAGCTTCCTCTGTCACCACCCAGAGGGCAGTGGTTTCTATCTAAGGGCAGAGAACTTTTAAAACTGAAGGGGATCTAAGAGATGATTTAGGCTAAACTTCTCATCTTCAGAAAACAAAGCCATAAAGGACTACATTCCTTAAACACACAGCCACCCCGAGCGGCAGAGCCAAGGCTCCAAGTCAGAGCGCTAGCGTTTGCTACTTCCGTTGTTCAATGATGACAAAATTATTCTATGCATATATTCATACTGTTTTCTCACCTGGACTGGAGATCCCTTATGGGTAGATGACAAACTTTGCATTCACTTTGGTTTCTCTTAAGTTTTAAAAAGTTTATCTAATCGTTATCCAATAAATTTTGATGTTGACGAGGAGGAGGAAAGCCATTTGAACAAGGGAATCTACCTAATGGCTGGTAGCCCAGCTGTATGACAAACGGCCAGGACTGAAACTGCTGGACTGCAGAGTGCGCTGCTGAATGAGAGGTCATACAAACCTCAACGCTCACAAGAAAACACAGGTGTCTTAAGAAAAAGATAGTACAAGATGAGCCAGAGTCACAAGCCTATGTGACAGTGTATTTTTTACTCAGTTTAAATCAATTCAGTCTCAAGTCTTCTGCCAAAAGCAGCTAAGATTAGGTCCGTTTCCTTATTTCCTTACTTGTACTGTCTGTTAACCCGTCTTACCAAAGGTAATGCTGCTTTTAAATATTCATCTTCTAGGTGGAAAAATAACCACGTACATATTAGAATGCACTTGTAGAAGAGATAACCAAGTGTGTGCTTAGGTAGTAATACACATTCAAAAATAGGACTAGCTTCAATAACATTTACTTTTCCTTCTAACTGACATTTCAAAAAATAAATATTCTATTTTGGAATAATTTCAGACTTGTAGAAAAGTTGCAAAGATAGTACAGAAAAGTCCCATATCTAACTAACTTAATCTCCCTTTATTTTTCTATACAATAAAATGTGACCTCAAAGCAGGTATGAAAATTAGTGAACATGAGAGATTTTGTGAAAAAAAGACATGCTGGATTCAAGATTAATATGGGGGAATGATCCCAAGTACCTGTCCTGTCCCCTTCTTGAGTACACACTGAAATGGCAGCAAAGTAATAAAGGTACAGATCCAATAAAAAGAGCAGGAGGTCATCAGGGGCAAGAGTTGCTCACTCACTCGGCAGAGAACCCAGTTCTCGCCGTGGAGCACGCAGGCGCCGGCCTCCAGGGGTGAGCAGCCAGGCGCCGCCTACCTGTCTGGTGGGATTTTAGATCCTGCATGATGCTCTCCAGACCGTAAGATGCAGGTGTGATGGGGAAGGCAGGGTGGCTACTTCAGACTGTGATCAAGGAGGTTCTCTGCAGAGGTAGTATCTGCACTAAGACCTGAATGAAAAGAGCCTGGACATGCGCAGACCTGGCCCGGCAGGGACACAGGTAAAAGCGTTTCTGCAAACAATTCAGAGAAAGCTCCAGTCCACACTGCTACTGCTGAGTGGGAAGAGGCGTGTCCTGGGAAGATTTTATACTTGGAAACACCAACCACAAAGTCTGCATTTTGAACTGCTGACCCTCTCTCCCACACCCCGTTCATTTACTGCCCTGGGGCTACCAGGTACACAAAGCTTGGGCCAAAAGTTGGAGGATCTGTCCCTTAAAGAATCTGAATGTCCTCAGAGCAAAGACGTGAGCGCACTGGCATCTAGTTTCCCCAGTTAAGGGCAGTTCCCTGCTGGGCCCCCCTGAAGTAAGGCCTGCCAGTCCGGGAGCCCTCTGATCTGTGTACAAAGTTCCCAGGCAGCACTCTGTAACCCGATTCTTCAACGCAAAGAGACATCAAGAGTCAACAAACAGCTGAACACTTGCCACATGACATGGAAGACCAAGACACAGAAATAAAGAGTGACTACAAAGAAAGAGACAATTATTCCAGGAATACAGCAAATCACAAACAGTTAACACCTTCATCACTGTCCTCACAGACATCTAAGCTTCTCTTTTCATAAAACAATGTTAAGATGTTATGAAAAATTAATAATCAGAGAGTAAGAAGGGATTCTTAGAAATAACAAAGACACAGGTAGAAAAACATGAGAAGAAAAGTGGTAACAAAGGATCAATCTAAGAAATCCAACATCCACGTATGCTCAGTTTAGGGAAGAGAAAAACAGCAAACAGAGAGGAGGAAATCCAGACTTTACAAGAGAACTTCCACACACCTGGGATGTAAACTTCGCACTGAATGAGCCTGTCCAGTGGCCAGCACGTCACTGTGAAATACAAGGATGAGAAATCCTATTTGTTTTCAGGAAGGAAAGAAGTCCCAGGTAACCCACCAGTGACGGGGAAGACTGGCATGAGGCCGCGCTGACATGGCGCTAGGAGACAGCGGGGAGCATCGCCACGGGAACTGTGTTGTACCTGGAACTAAAGCCTGCCAAACTGCAAAGCATAACCAAGGTCTTTTTCAGAACTACGAGAACTGGAACATCTCCTCTAAGATGCCCTTCCAAAGAAAGCTGCTTGAGAATACGCCGTAGCAAAGCAAGGAATGAAATAAAGGACAGAAGGAAACAGACCCCACCCAGGGAACTCACAAAAGGGAAAACCAGGACGGAAACCAGCGCAGAACAGAGCGAAGTATGGAAGACTCGGGGACGGAATCATCCGGCAAAATAAAAGCGGGTCTAAGGCCATGCTGGGGAACCAGAGCAAGTTAAGTAAGGAGAAAAGAAAGGCGAAAGAAACACTTCAGAAAAAACCACTTGATGATAAAATTCCACCAAATAAAATGAGGCAGAATAAAGATGCCAGTAATGGGAAAGCTGTGCTCAAAGGGCTGTGGTCGTTGAACATCAGATCCATTACAGTACATAACCTCAGTATAAACAGTGGAAATTACGGTTTGCAAACAGAACGTAAATGCTATAAAGGGGAACAAAGTCGTGGTAGTAACAATGATGACAATGATATTACTCATGTGGCTTATGAACTGCTGGGAGGAGCACAACACTAATTCCCTAATTCTGCCAAGAGAGAGGAACCAAAACGACCAAAACTCAGAAAGCGGTAAAAACGTTCTAAATTCCCACCTGCTTTCATGATCTTCTTTCCTTTAATTTTATGGTGATCTTTTAGAAGCTAGTTATTTTTTTCAGTGAAAGAAACATTTGTCTGAAGCTCAATGATTAAGAAATTTCCATGTGTTTTATTTCTCTTTTTAAATAAAATAAAATTTCAAATACTTTTTATTTAGAATTCATAGCATGACCCCATAGATGTAAAAAACTGTTTTAGCATCTATTTCTCTCCTGGAAAGAGATGGCTGGGACGATACACCCCTAATGCTGACGATGGTGTCTCTACGTAGCAGAGTTTAAGGATAGTTTCGCTCTTTTATAATCTTCTATATTACTTGATTGAAAAATACATAGAAATATGTAGATTTTACAACAACAAAGCTACTTTTAAAATATGGAATTTTAATTAGTTCTACTCACCAATAGCTTTGGTATAATGTCTTGCTCCAAGAAGTAATTCTGGGGCTCGGTACCAGAACGTTACAACTACTGGATCCAAATCTGCTAAAGGCTTCAAAGGTGAGTTAAATAATCGGGCAAAGCCCATATCAGCTGTAAAAAAAAAAACATAATGCTAAGTAAATAGATTTTTACAAATTTAGTTGATTACTCTAATTTTATCACTGTTACTCAGTAAGATATGAAAAGTGTGAGTTCTGGGCAGAGAAGACCAACAAAACATCTCACCCCTTTCAGAAGTCTAAATATAAAACAAGTATGAGACCTTCGTTCCTTGCAAACTTGTGTCACTCACTGTCCCACTGGGTCAGAGACAGGTTCTGCTGCCAGAGGTCAAGGGCGACCCTGCTCCTCCGGGCAGATTGATTTCATCTGTTTTACCACCACTGGGACGGGGTTGTGAAGCTGCATTTCCATTCTTTTTATTGGTCACAAGCACCAAGAAACTAGATCAGTTAGAGTAAGGCTTTCCATTATCTGCATCAGCAAGCGTGTTTGCTGATGTAATCAGAAGTTGGCTATGCAGTATGTTAGCACCACTACTGCCCCTCACTTACTTGGGTTGAATTTTATTAATGTCATTTTAAAGAATCATGGTATTTTTTTAAGCTGGAAAAGACTTTCAAGGTCATATAATTCAATCATTTCCCTTTCAAATGAGGACACTGAGGTTGGAAGGAATCACGTGATATGACTGATGCCGTAAACCCCTGTCTCAGAGCTGGAGCTGCGGCGCGCAGCTCGGAGGGCAGCCATGCGGGCGTGGCTGTTGGCTACTGACGTCATCCTCTCACAGACAAGACCTGGGCTCTCCATCTCTCTGCCTTCTAGCATCGAGTGCTGTCACGACAGGAAGTTTTTGCCAAGTATTACGTTAAGTGAACAATCACTATCCATACCACCTATTCAAAAATTTCAAGATTCGCGTATCATCTGTTTAGTTTTGCTCTCCTAAGATGTATTTTTAACGAAGGAGACCCTAATCTAATCTACTTAATTATAGAAGTTAAAAAAAAACCCACAGAAATTTGGCAAAGAATTAAAACCACAAGTCAGATTCACTGAATACTGGTTTGCAGAACTAACATTTCTTCTTTGTGAATGCTTTAAGCTGTGAAGTGTCCCCCAACCCTGCCAACATCATGCATGTTATACAGAAGTTTAATTCCAAACTAGATTATTTTTAACATAGTATATAAATTTTCCCAAAATCTGACAGTAAAGAACACATCTGTAAATACTGTTTGGCTGGGTCTTTTATACTTTGCATGCTTTGAGCTTACATCTGATTTTGATGCCACCAAGTGGGACTGGACAAAATCCCTTAAGAGCAACGTCAGGATTTAACAGGTGTAGATGACGTTATGGGTAAGTACGGACAGGGCCTGGTTCTCAAAGGAAGTCACGACTAGGGTACTTTGAGGTGCATCAAATTTCACACTACTAAAAACTTTGCGAAGTTCATACCATAAAAGAGTATTTTGAGAGTCTAACTAGAAGTGAAAAATGAGATTTGGGGACTTTCTAGGGGAGGACAAGGAAGAAGTGTTAGAACACCCAGGTTTTTCTTGGTTGGTGAAGTGCTACAAGTCAGTTGATAATTCTAATCTTTACTAAACCCTGCAATCGGAAACTCCTGTCTACTTTACTATATACTCCCATACTCCTGCTGCTTTTAAATTATTATAATTTAATTACTACATTTCTCCTACCCTCACACAGAACAAACTAAATAAATGTGACAAACACAACTTGGAAATGACAATGAAAAAATAACCAGTTAGGGTAAATAAATTTAGTTCTATCCTTACAGGTTATCAGACCAGAAATGAATAAAATTTTGCATTGATATATGAGAAAACAGCTATCAGGAAACATGCCGAGGTACAGATTGCTCGTTCGCTTTTTCCCCTTCAGGCAAAGGCGCATCAGAACCGAAGGCTCTGTGCCCACCCAGCCTCGGCAGTGTTCCTGGTCTCATCCTAGCCCAGAAGAGGCTGAGAGGCACACGGTCTGCTCTGATCTGGCTCAGGCGAGCAGCCCGGAGGGTGCAATCACCAGCATGCTGTGTGCCCTTGTTCCTCAAGGTGAGGCTGGCTTCCTGCAGGGACAGAAGGCACTAACCTGTACACACTATTTTTCAATGATGGCAAAAATTTCTAAAAAAAACTTGCACAGCTTGTTTCGTAATTAGAACAGTTCAGTCTCTAAGGAGTGCCTGACACGTCTGAAGGGTGTGGACAATTTTCACTTTTAATGTGTCCTCTTTACAAGTGGATTGGTCACATGGAACTACGTGAATATATGCATATTATTACAGCAAAAATCAGAAGCGATAAAGCTGCCGGCAAAGGTTTTAAAAGAGTGCTACACTGTGACTTATCAAAGATGTAACATACCAATTTTTACTCTTCCTCGCTCAGGACCTTCACCCATAACTAAAATATTAGCAGGTTTCTGTGGAAACAAAATAGTGGTTTTTTTCAGTAGACAGTAGTGGTTTCTCTTAAATAGACAATACGCCAATATAACATAAATCCACCTTTAAAAAAACCACATAATATCAAACCCAGAAGCAACCAAAGCAGCTGTACGTGTATATATGCAAAGCAAGTCGCAGACCTCAGGAAGGCCCAAGTGTGACAGTGCTGTTCTCCACGCAGGGCTAAGGCTTTTCTTGGCGCTGCGATCAGCTGGCTTTCACGACTGTGGAACATCTGGCAGAAAGTTATAATGTTGTACTTCTTCCTAACTCTTTCAATTGCATAAAATATCCTGCAACTTTAAGGGAAAATGAATCTTCAAATGAAATTTAACACTAAGTAGCAAATTAATTACAAAGAACGGGCCACCTGATATTCTTCTTTGGAAACGGTGCAGTATATACTCATGTTTCAAGTTAAGTTCTACAGAGATCTATTTAATAAAGTCTCTTCTAAATGAGATAGCAAATAGGAATTTCCCATGACCTGAACAGTTTTGAGGTTTTCATCTTTTAAAAAGAAAGGAAGCTGACAGTTAAGGTGAGATTTTACGAAAGCAGTATTTCAGTTTTAAAATCTCTGCAAATGTGTAAGAGTAACTGCCATGTAAAACCTGTTAGAGTGGTGTCTGCTGTACTATCCTGGGAGGGGCCACCCCTCTTCAAGGAGGACGAGAGGGAAGGGGAGGCAGCAGAGGAGGAGGAGGGAAGGAAGACCAGTCCCAGGCCTCACTCAGCTGCCACCCCGCGGCCCCCTGATCCGGGCTGTAATCCTACCAGTCTGCTGAACAAAAGTGAAACTGGGTGACAGCGCCTTTCAAATACTGACCAAAGCAACCTGACAATCAAATTAAAGACTTCAACGAAGGCTGTTTACAGTGGTCACCAGCGCACAGGCTTCCCTGGCCAACTGAGTGGCAGCCCCTGTGCTGTCAGCGACACAAGGTAACAACACAGTGTACCATTCTATCACCTAGAAAGATCTAATCCTCAGCAAAAACACGCTGCTAAAATGGCAGCATATACATTTCGGAGGTGAAAAATTCCTACAGTTTTTAAGGTGAGGAAACTAGGCACCAGGGGGAGTGGACAACCAACGAGACCGGGGCAGCAGCAGAACCCACCCCGTCTCTGAACAACGCAGCCCCTCTTCCAAGTGTACCATCCTGGGGGTAACTTTATGCGGCAAGTTTGAAGATGAATGTGTATTACCATAACAATAACAACGATGATAACGATTTGTTTCAGGACCCCTATCGCCGTCCACACACTCCTGCCCATGGAGATAACTGGCTGAGCACCTGAAGGAAGAGAAGCACGAACAATGTTCCCCAGGAGCCGCAGGGAGCAGCAGGCACAAACAAAGCTGTTCCCGTGCACCACGCTAATCAATCAACACCGGTGAGTCTCTGCAGACTTGGAGCTCAGCCTGCTTCACATGAAACGAGAAACTAGAAACCAGAAACCAGATCTCGAAGTCGCCTGTGAAATGCTGATGGCAGCAGGGGAGGGCCCTCCAAGAGGAACAGGCAGCCTGTCTACCTGGCTGAGGGGAAAGGCTTGCTCTCAACTCACAGTGTCTCAGGCTCAGGAGGTTACTTCATGTTTGTGCTAGAACCCTCTTGTTGTGGTTCATCAGGGCAGGGCTCCCTGAGCATCTCTTGAACCCCGTTCTGATTCTCTTCCCATCCATCTTCTGTACCATTCCCAAGGTTCTCTCTCTAAAAGACAAAGCTGATCATGTCACGCCCTTGCTTAAAATCTTCCACAGTAACAGGGGAAATTATTACCAGATTAGGTGAAGACAGTGGAACACAAAATGATCCGTAGATTGTGATCACAACTAGGATAAAAAAAAGTGCTATGAGTAAGGACTAGGACAAGAAAGGACAGAGCAACAGAGATACGGATAAACCTCTTCAAAGGTTCTTTGAATGCTTTCACTGTACTTTATTATCAGTAAAATATTTGCACTTTCCCTGGCCCCTCCCCGTCGGTGAGTAAGACAAGCCTTTGTAACGGGACACCAGGCACCTGTAAGCTCGACCCCACTGATCTCTCCAGCCCCACCTTCCAGCACCCCACACTCCTGCCACATGTGCGCTGCATGTTTCCAGTGTCCTGTGGCTGGACCCTTCGCAACTAGGTCAGCACTAGCCCATTCTTTCTGCTCCAAGAACTTTCCTGTGTCATCAGGCAAAATCTGATTCTTCCCCCGCCCCTCTTAGCGATTTAAGTAACAGACGAACACATCCAGGTTATAAACAAGTCAAACTATGAAGTCACATATAGTTAAGAGTTAAAGGCTCTCTGACCACCCATCACTCCTTAAACACATCCCAAATTCCACTCCCCCCTCCCGAGTTACAAGCTGAGTAGCTGGTTTGCGGTGGTGGATTTTTCTCACGCTGAAGTGCTCCTGAAAGATCCTCTCCGTACCTGCAAAAGCACAAGCACACCAAGGCACCCCTCTCCCTTTCTTCCAGATGCAGTGGCAAAGGTCTCTCTTTTGCTTTCTTACTCATTCAGCAGCTGGGCAGATCTGAGAGGCCTGGGATGGGTGGTACTGGTCAGCCTGCTACAAGGCAAGGGGGAAAACTCCCTCACTTGGTCTTCATTTTATTACAGAATAACTGGACTGGCCAAGTCCCAAGCTTGGGTTTGAGCACTGGTGGGAAACAGTTTCTCTGTCAAGGTCTGGCCTAGTACTGGGGTTTGGGGCCAAGGCTCCGGCTGATAATTAAAAACTACTTTGCTAGGCAACTCACTGCCTACTCCATGATACGAAGCAGGTCTAGGGGCTGAAAGTCAGTACTCACACTTAAGTAAATTTACGTTCTGTTTGGGCATGCGTGCAGTCAGAGACAGAAGAGAAAGGTGTTAGTGCTGTTTTAATAACACCACTTACAAACAGTGGGTCCCTCCTCGTGGCAACTTCCATGGTGGCATTCCATATGCCACAGGGTATGCTATTCTGATTTAGTAGGCAAATCTAATACTGAATTCTTTTGGTGAATGTAATCTAATGGAAATCGCAAGAGAAAATGGTAGAAAGGCCATAAAGATCACGAATACTCGTATTTGTTTTGTTGCCTAATACATAAGGAAGGCTTCAAAAGACTCGAAGGATAATTCTTGTTTTAGTACTTAATGTCACATGGAAACAATATTCTGTTCTCCAAAAAGCTAATTTCTTTTTTCTTTCTCTCAGTGGGAGAATTTGATAGCAGTGTTTAGCTTTAGAGTCAAAGCTTCCAAGTGTTGGTGATAATACATGAGATAATCAGTAAGAACAATGACTTTGGTCAACAGTCCGTGATCTTCAATGTGCTATCAAACATACTCACCTTAAAAGATCATGTAAGACTTTGCTGGTGACATTCTGAGGAGGCATGTACTCCATTAAATTATTTGTTGCTATGGAGACCAGAGGTCCAATGTGACTTAGAAGTACTAGAACATCAAGACGTCTTCAAGAATAGCCATCCTATGCACAGAGCTGATTATCGAACACCCTGAACTGCCTGCTGAACCATGGACGGAATCAATGAGACACGTGTTTCAAGTATACTTATTTGACTGTTTCAAGCTGTGATATCCTTCTCTTATTTTATTTCTCCCAGAAAAAAACTATTCTTGTAATTTAAAAAACATGCTCTTGTTCTACAGTCTCATGGCTTTTCCTCTAGTTTTCTGTTGCTGGGCTCCGAAGAGCCCCACTGACACTTCCTAGAGCAAGATGTGTGCGTCACGGAGACAACAGCTCCTGCAGAGACTCTCTGTGCTCCAGACTCTGTCACGCCGGGAAACGGCAGAGACGGGATATCAAAAATCCTTTAGTTTTTCAGTTTCATTCACCATTACGATTTTAACCAAATTTACAAAAAGTGTACCCAACAGTTAATAATCAAATCTGAAAATCACTGTAACTCCAAATATTAGCCTAAACAGTGTTAACTTACACATCTGGTAGCGTAACAGCGATCACTGAGTAGTACTGTTTTGTGCTGTCTTCCCCAGTACAACTTTCTTGACAAATCTGGGGGTTTGCATATTACTTTTACTAACTATATAGTATTCCTCTACGAAGAGACAGTTGGTTGTATCCCACACCCCCATCCCCCACTTTTGGCACCAACCCTAATGATGTTCCCATTGACATTGTATAAATTATACCCCTCACCCAACAAACCCCTGACACATATTACCAGGTAATTTCCTTGGGACAGAATCTCAAAGACAGAATTAGAAGATCAAATAATATCAACAGCTTTATTATTTTTATGGATAAGAATGACAAGTTAGTGTTGCAAAGATAAATGTTACTAATGTAATCAAACATTTAATATGTGCCTCAAATATTAAAAGCCCTAAATATATTACAATGACAGCTAACACTATAATCTGGTCATATAGGGGCTCGCTGCTGAAGTGATTCTTAAGTAAAAACTTCCCAGGAAGCAGGGTACCCACATGTGATTAAATGATACCCCCAAGATGATTTCTCTGTAACACCCTATGTGATACCCCTAATTGCTTTTGATCATCATCTAGTTTTTACTCACTTATGCCTTTTATTGATTAAAAAAAGTTATTAGCAATAGCTTTTAAAAATTAAAGTAATAAAAACAGACACTCTCAGAAAATTAAAATACAGAAATGTAATAAGAAAGTAAAATTGACCTGAAACTTCACCTCAAAGAGTTAGGTTATTACAAACATTCTCGTGGACATAATTCTAGATTTCTCCAAATCTGTATTATTTATATTTATATAAATATCTTGGAAAGGCTCTTTTGATTCCTGTATTTGTTCACTCAACAGTGAGCAAATAATAAATGTACAAATACAGCACTATTGTATTTATCCTACTTTATTTAGCCTCCTCTGTCATATCTATTTAGGTTATTTCCAGACCAGAATAGTTCCAGACATTGTTAAATAATAGTGGTAACAGAAAGGTTAGAATAATAGC